GGTCTCTGGTCTCTGGTCTCTGGTCTCTGGTCTCTGGTCTCTGGTCTCTGGTCTCTGGTCTCTGGTCTCTGGTCTGGTCTCTGGTCTGGTCTCTGGTCCTGGTCTAGTCCTGGTCTGGTCCCGGTCCTGGTCCAGTACTTGAGCAGGAGGGTCTTGGCGTCCATCTCGGCGTTCCCGGCGGCGCTCACGTTGAACTTGTTGGTGAGCGTCAGAGACACTTCGGTTTTCCCGAGCAGGTCTCTGTTGGGGTCGTCGGGGGGCAGCGGGTTCTCTCCTGAAACACACACCGGACGTAAAGACACTGCGGAACATTTCTTCCACCGCATCAACGACCCGACGTGTTACCGAGCAACGCCTCCACCGTGGGAACCTCCCCCAGGTCCTCCAGCAGCTCGTGGATCGGGTCGTTATGGTCCGGAGCGATGGCGTCAGCGTGATCCAGAAGCAGCTGAGGAAGACGAGAGCGATGATGAAGAGGAGGAAGAGGTTATGTATGTGTGTGTGTTGCCGTGTGTGTTACTGCGTGTGTTACTGCGTGTTACCGTATGTGTTACTGTGCATGTGTTACAGTGTGTTTCCATGTGCATGTTTTTACAGTGTGTTATCGTATGTGTTACCATGTGTGTTACCGTGTTACCGCGTGTGTTACTATGTATTACTGTGTTTGTTATCGTGTTTGTGTTACAGTGTGCGTTGTCACATGTGTTACCGTGTGTTGTGTGTGTTGTGTGTTGTGTGTGTGTTGTGTTACCGTGTGTGTGTTGACGATCTCTCCGATGGAAATGTAAATCACAGGTTTGGTGACGGTGACGAGATCTGAATATTGATCCACGTTAAACTTTTCCTCCAGAGACGGAACGTCACACGCGGCAAGAAAGAAACGCCTACAAACGCACAACACAACACACAACCATTACACACAACACAACTATTACACACAACACAGCACACAACTATTACACACAACACAACTATTACACACAACACACAACACAACTATTACACACAACACAACTATTACACACAACACACACACAACTATTACACACAACACAACTATTACACACAACACAACTATTACACACAACACAGCACACAACTATTACACACACACACAACTATTACACACAACACAACACAACTATTACACACAACACAACACAACACACACACAACTATTACACACACACAACACAACATTACACACAACACTATTACACACAACACAGCACACAACTATTACACACAACACAACTATTACACACACACAGCACACAACTATTACACACAACACAACACAACTATTACACACAACACAACTATTACACACAACACAGCACACAACTATTACACACAAACACAACTATTACACAACTACACACAACACAACTATTACACACAACACAGCACACAACTATTACACACAACACAGCACACAACTATTACACACAACACAACTATTACACACAACACAACACAACTATTACACACAACACAACACAACTATTACACACAACACAACTATTACACACACACACAACTATTACACACAACACAGCACACAACCATTACACACAACACAACTATTACACACAACACAACACAACTATTACACACAACACAACACAACCATTACACACAACACAACACAGGATGAACCACCTGGGGTTTAAGAGCAATAAATAAAACAGTCTGGTCTCGGTCCTAGTCCTGGTCCTGGTCTCGGTCCTGTCTCGGTCCTGGTCTCGGTCCCGGTCCCGGTCTCAGTCCTGGTCCTGGTCTCGGTCCTGTCTCGGTCCTGGTCTCGGTCCCGGTCCCGGTCTCAGTCCTGGTCCTGGTCTCGGTCCTGGTCTCGGTCTCTGTACCTGTACTTGGCGTGGGCGGCGCTCAGGTACTCGTTGATGGGCGTGAGGTGGGCGTTGTCGCCGTAGAAGAGGCGGCTGGACGCGGCGTGTTGGAGCATTTTGGCGACGGAGCCGAGGTTCCGGCGCTGCTCGGTGCTCAGCTGCCCCCCCGCCGCCACCTCGATGATGTCGAAGGCGTCGGGCGCCACCACCGCCGGGTTCATGTAGCGATAGTACAGCAGGTTACCCACGATCTACGAGGACAAGTACTGTTACTGCAAGTACAAGTACTACTACAAATACTACAAATACTACAAATACTTCTCCTGTTACGACTACAGTTTCTGTTCGTTTGACCTTTTACTCTTCGTGACGACAAAAGTTTAAACTTCAGTTTTGAAAAAGCAGAAAAAGTCAAAGTCAAAAGATTCTCACCTCGAGCAGAAACAGAGTCACAGGAGAAGAAACGAAGAGTCTGGAGCCACCACAGAGGAGGAAGAAGAGCCACCACAGAGGAGGAAGAAGAGCCACCACAGAGGAGGAAGAAGAGCCACCACAGAGGAGGAAGAAGAGCCACCACAGAGGAGGAAGAAGAGCCACCACAGAGGAGGAAGAAGAGCCACCACAGAGGAGGAAGAAGAGGAAGAGGAGGAGAG